GTCAAAAAATATTGTATTTGACTTGTGACCACTCAGTGTATATATAGTATCATAATACCAAAATATATTTTTTTACAGTAATTTGACTGTACAAAAAGTCAAAAAATATTGTATTTGACTTGTGACCACTCAGTGTATATAGTATCATAATACCAAAATATATTTTTTTACAGTAATTTGACTGTACAAAAAGTCAAAAAATATTGTATTTGACTTGTGACCACTCAGTGTATATAGTATCATAATACCAAAATATATTTTTTTTACAGTTATTTACAAAAAGTCAAAAAATATTGTATTTGACTTGAAATATCACGACTAATTTGCATTTCAGTCAAACTTGAAAAATTGGGTTATTTTATTTGAACTGTAAGTATTTCAACGTGAAAAGCAGCGTAGAAAAATGGATTAACTTGTAAACATGAAAAATAATTCAATAAATCTACAGAGTTTTGTAATAAGAACAACTTGCTTCACGGATTTGTTAGTTTTGGAAAGAAATAAAAAATATGAATTTTTTTCAATGGAAATAAAGAAACATATGACTATTGAGAACTTTTTTTTTGTACAAGCTACTAATCAAATAATTGCTTTTTCTAGAGTTGTGGTGCTTCTGTTAATTGGTGACCACCTGAAGCAGCTCTTTGAGGGTCTCCAGATGATTACTGAAGAGGAACCTGAGAAATTTGGACACTTTGTTTGGATTACTTATGAGAATCTCGAGGTCTTCGAAAAATTCTCCAAATACTCAGTTGGTGCTCTTTCCATCCGACAGGTGACGGATCATATACCTGCTTTTCAAGAATATTTTCAACGTTTGAGTATTCGGAAGAATTCTAGAAACATTTGGTTCCGAGAATATTGGGAACACGTGTTCGGATGCCGGGGAGCAGCCTGTTATAGTGGACACCAGAGTGGACTCAAAGATGTTCCTTTTTTCCAAGACCCTGGTGTTAAAAACGTGGTGAGCAGTGTCTTTGCTCTCGCCCATAGCTTGGAAGTGGCAAGAGTTCAATTCTGTCCTGGAAAGTCCAAAGGAATTTGTGTTCAGATGAAAGAAAGTCCTGAATTAAGACAACTTATCTTAAATTCAACCAAGAATGCTCAAATAGTTGAAAATGGTAAAACTACGAGACTCTTCACAGAAAAGAACTATGGTACTAAAGGATTAGACATTTTGAACTTCCGTCAAGTGGGAAGCAGTACTCATGGTTTTGTGAAGGTATTTATTATACTAAGCCAACAACTTATGGTCACATCTTAAGAATCGACCCAATTATAGGGATAACGTCAAGAAGATTCAAGGGAAAAAAGCTTGATTTAAAACTTTTGTTAATGTTTAAAGGTTTATAAAAAAAATCACTTTTTACTTGCAACACTAGATACTTTAAACAAAATGTAGTTTGAATTTTAAAACGATACAAAAGACGAATCCATATCTCAGTTTGTGCTGGAAACCAAGTATATTTGAAAGAAAATTTAAAAAAATGGTTTTGGACATATACATATATATGTATCTTTTTTTTTACCACAGATTGGACGTTACACGGAAAGAGGAGGATTAAATATGAGCATGAATAGAATTAGAGGTTTCGACAACAATGGCCGTGAAAATAGCCTTCAGAAAATAGTCTCTAGCTGTTTGAAAAGCGACAGATGTGGGAATGAGATTGTTTTCCGGCTACCTACTGTAATGAAGTGGGTTTCTAAAAACAATAGTTATGTCATCACTTCTGTGATGTCTGTCCATCAGCCAGGGGAGACGTTTTTTTCATGTGGTTCGCTTAATCCAAAATCTTTTCAAAATTTGGTAGCTCTGATTTTTGCCGTGAAGGAGATGAACAAGAACATTGGGTTAATTCTAGGAGAAACCCAAGGACTGATTGTTCTAGATGACTGTGGTAGAGTTGAACGGGCTAAAGAAAAATTATTTAATTATTTAACCGTAGAAAGTGAGAAGAGGCTTAACAAGTCTGACACAGATTCCAAAAATGTCATTGCTGCTGTGACATTCGACCACCAGGTAGCCACTGAAGTTTCGCCAATTCTGCAAGCGAAGATGATCCCACAAGTAAGCACATCAGTTGTGTGGTCAAACGGAACGAGTATTAGTACAAACTTTATTATGGCCATTCCATCCCCTGTGAAGTTACAAATATTGGCTGTAATGGCGCTGTTGAAGAAATATGATTGGACCTACGTAAATGTCATTACGACCAATGACATATTTGGAAAGTTAGCACACGAGCAATTTGCTGAAACAGCGAAAAATTACACAATTTGCATCGCCGAAACGCTAACAATGAATATTGATTTCAATATAAAAAACCTCACGAAAGAATTTACTGTCTTAACCTCTGATGCAAATGTACGTGTCACAGTACTCTTGACGAACAGCACTCTTGCAACGAGGGTAATGTTACAGGTTGCCGAAGAGGCGAACCTCATTGACCGTTATATTTGGGTTGCCACCGAGGGCTGGGGTTCTGAGAATCGTCTTGAAGGAGTTTTAAAAAATAATACATTGAATGCTTTAGTAGTGAAACTGGAGAATCACGATATTCCAGAATTTCGCCATTTTTTTACTAGAATGACACTCACTAAACACGATCCAATTCCTGATTCCTGGTTTGAAGAATTCTGGCAACACTATTTTAGGTGCCAACTGCTAAGTAGCTTCATTATCCAGCATCAGTACCCGGATGTGTGTACTGGGCAGGAGAGTTTCACAGAAGTGGACTTTCAACAGGACGGTCAAGTATACCGGACAATTACAACTATAAGGTCCATAGCTCATGCACTTCGCTCTGTTCTGACCAAACGTTGTCGTCCATTTTCAAACACTAGCAACTGTGAAGGAATTAGCAGAGAACTGTTAGCTAGTGAAATCAGAAAAGAGCTTGAAGGTTCAAAAAGTGAAGCCAAAGTTCCAGAAACTGGCTCTATATTCGGCTATCAAGTTTTTAAAGTGCAGAAAAATCTTGAAGGGAAATATTTTTATCATTTGGTAAGTTTTGTCTTCAGTCATTGGAGCTTCTTTTTGTGTGTGTTGTGCACCTGGTAATCAACTGTAACTTCATTCCAAATTTAATTTACCAGAAACCTCTTTTTTTATTTTAAATTTAACAATTTTATCAATTGAATAATTGGTATGGTTTGAAGAAGAAGAAAAACACAGGTTTCTGATATTGACCCAAATCTCAAAATTTCCATCGTATTTTTGATTGTAATATAAATCTTGTCCAACTTTGGTGTAGTAAGATAATATAGTTTTAAACTATTTCTGACGTTATAATTTAGATTTCATAACGGATACTAAAATATATTCAAGTACATAAACATAGATATAAATATTAAAAACAAAAAGTTCCATCAAGTCCAACTAGGTATTTTAATAGTAATTAGTCATTGTAAATCCATATACAGATTGGACTTTGGAAGAATCACAAACTGGACCTCTCCGAAGACTTCTTAACTTCTTACGACACAGTGCCAACATCCGTGTGTTATGGGAACTGTGAAAAGTGTAAAGATGACGAAGACAATAAAGACGACTTGATCTACAGAGGATCAATCTACATGAACTTCAAGACCGTGTGGGGGATCATTGTCACGGCCCTTTCTCTTTTTGGAATCAGTATGGTGATAGTCTGCGCCCTCTACTTCCTGGTAGCGTTTCCAGTAGTGATAGGAACAACAGTACTAGGGTACATCATCTTACTGGGAATTCTTGTTTTATTTGGGGTAAACTTCGCCTTCATTTTCGCTCCAACAACTTACACGTGCGCTGTACGTCGATTTGTTATGGGGTTGGCTTATGCTGTCATCTTCTCGGGAATGTTGATGAAAGTGATGAACGCCTGGAGACTGATGGGCTACAGGAACAGTAGAGTTCTGAATGATGGCTCTCGTTTCAACACCCCTACCGGTCTGCTGATAATGGTCGCAGGTCTGGTTGCTATTCAGGTAATACTGACCACTGCCTGGTTAGTGCTGCGGCCACCAAAAGTCAGTGTGTACAATCAGGTCTGGAGATGTTCTCCATCCTCCGCGTTTGAAGACGAGTTTATTATATCTTTAGTGTATGTAATGCTGCTTTTGGCGTTGTCCATCCTGTTCTCCATCTTAACCTGGAAATGTGCCGACGGCAACAGGGAACCCCGTTGGATTATGGTCAGTTGTATCGTGACTGTTTTGGTCTGGGCGGCCTGGACTGTTTTGTCCCCCCATCTAAGTCCAAGATACCGCGACGTTACGATCATTGTAGCTAACTTAGTGTGTGCTACTGTTATCATGTTGTGTTTATATGTGCGCAAGGTGTACATATACAGTAAATACACGAAACAGACTCGCGAGCGGGGCGTTAAGACGCATCTCCAGCCATCTAGGAAAGCTCGTTCCAAATATGGAGCGTTTCAGAAAGAAGGCGTGTCATCGTCGACTTACGGTAAGACATTCATACTTATTTAGGGCAAAAACTCTCATATTTTAGGTTTCATTTTTAACAATCCTGTAGGACAAAAACTCTCATATTTTAGGTTTCACTTTTGACAATCCTTTAGGACAAAAACTGTCATATTTTAGGTTTCACTTTCAACAATCTTGTAGGACAAAACTGTCATATTTAAGGTTTCACTTTCAACAATCTTGTAGGACAAAACTGTCATATTTAAGGTTTCACTTTCAACAATCTTGTAGGACAAAAACTCTCATATTTTAGGTTTCACTTTTAGCAATACTGTAGGACAAAAATTGTCATATTTTAGGTTTCACTTTTAACAATCCTGTAGGGCAAAAAAAAGTCATATTTTAGGTTTCACTTTGACAATCCTGTAGGACAAAAACTGTCATATTTTAGGTTTCACTTTCAACAATCTTGTAGGACAAAACTGTCATATTTAAGGTTTCACTTTCAACA